TAGACTCAATGAGAACTCGAGAGGGGTAAATCGAATACAGGAGAAGAATTCGATCAAACATTACATTAGATTATCAATCTTGAATTAAGAATAAATGTGACAATAGATGAAATTGTTATTCCCTAATATTTATCACATATTTGAATTTTCAATTATCCATTGTTTGCAATCATTTATATTTTCAATTAGTTAAAAGTAGTTAGGAAAAATAATCACAGTCATCATAAATATTTACTTACTTTTATCAAATAAGAGTTAGAAAAATTAGATTAAGTTCTAAAGTATAGTCTTCGTAAGAACAATAATCCGGACGCAAAGGTCCACTATATTACTTATTACGATATTGTACACTTGTGATATAAAAAATGCAACAAGTTTTTGGCGCCGTTGTCTGGGATCATTATGCGTAATTTAATGTATTAAACTCATAAAAGAATAAACCACAACCAAGGTTATAACTATGCAACCGCATTGTTATAGCCTATGAGGTCGCATAGTTACAAAATGCGACCGTTGGCTGGGTTTTTCGAATTTTTTGGTGGTTGATTGATGAAGCATTGCACCTCTTGAATTGAGCTTGGAACCACTTCATGTGGGATGGCTGAAACCTATAAACATTTGTTGTGCACATCAAATTTTACATTGATTATTCATCCAATTTTTTAGAGAAAATTTTGTCCATTTACATAATCAATTTTTTCACTTGTTCATTTGAAAATTCTGTTTGCTTTTGGTGATCTTCATAAGGCTTGTTTAATCCTGCAAATTATTTGCCGTTAAATCCTTAAAAGCATTGTAGAGGAGGCTAATATCGTTTGAGGATAATGATATAATCTTCGTGTTCAGGCCTTTACCGGATTTTTATTTATCATTTTCTTCTCCTTTGTTCTTTCTCCATTGATGTATTTATTTTTTCTAAACGGTATCTTCATATAATATTGTATAAGCATTGATGTGGGCTTAAGACAATTCTGTGATTTCTAACTCTTGAGGAATGAACAAAATTTCACTGTTGTTGTTGTCGAAACAAAGATTTCAATTTAGTAATCCATGCATTTTAAATTGGTTTTGAGAATTTAAACAAATGGATCGTGATCCTTTACCTTTCAAATTTTCATGGTGTCCATGAATGGCTCAAACAGCTTAAATTTTGAGGGTTTGAAAGATCTATATAATGGATGATAAATGACATAGCAGGGTGCAAATTGTACTCAATGGTTCACATAAAATATTTCATGTTGAATAGAATTCTACCAATTCTAAACTATTCTTACTGTTTCTCGTAGCTTAATTTTTTCTTTGCCATAGCTGTAGGAAGTTCTGTTGGTTAAGTGCATCGAACTAGAAGTGGGCACAAACCATTCAGTATGAACTTCATTTGTGAAGGAACAGAGAATATATAAACTCGCTCTAGACTTGCCATCTGAAACTCTTTGGATTGCCTCCAAATAAATGAATTTGTCGTTACCTTAAGCACGCCACCTTTTTTTTTTTTTTTTTTGGAAAAAGCATCAACTCTTAATTTTATGGGACAGCTTGAGAGCAACTAATTGTATGAAGATCTATGTTTCGTTCAAGAATGAAGCATATTGTGCTTCATGTACTAATTCACATTTTTACTGACCAAACCAATAAGCAATTCTTCAGTCCAAGATTGATGTTCCATCTTGGAAAAATATAAGGAAAGACTAATCACAAGCTAATCAAAATTTATCTCAGAATTAATTGGTGTGGACAAAAAAGAAACATAGATCCAAAGAAAATTAGAATGAAACATACATCTGATTTAATAAACCAGTTTTATTAATTGTATGCATGAAGTACAATAACTTGAAAAGGAAAGTAGTTTCAAAGTTCACAAACATGATACATTTACAATACCATCTACATAGAGAAGAATCTGACCCAGATATATGCTGCAATAGCTGATCACTGACCCAAAGATAGAGCTTATGAGTCCCTTCTTTTTCTACCCAGGTAGTTCATATCTGGAAGGAATTGTAGTTACAACAGGAGGCGGATAAAAAGAACTTTATTTGTGTTTAAAAGAAAAAAAGAAGAAAGGCTTATTGTGAGAAGATGGCGTTTATAATGAAAAGTTGATACTGAAATTCTGAGTGGAAGAGTTGCGTCTTTCAATGCTATTGTGGTGGACTTTTTAGGAAATTCTAATAATAAACAGGTGGAGGTGGTGGTGACTTGTAGACGTAAGGAGGTGGTGGTGGAGATTTGTAGACATATGGAGGTGGAGGAGGTGATTCGTACTTGTATGGGGGTGGTGGTGGTGACTCGTACTTGTAAGGTGGAGGCGGTGGAGATTTGTAGATATATGGAGGTGGGGGAGGTGATTCATACTTGTAAGGTGGGGGTGGAGGTGACTTGTACTTATATGGCGGAGGTGGAGGAGACTTGTAGACATAAGGTGGCGGCGGCGGAGATTTGTAGACGTATGGAGGTGGTGGAGGTGATTCATATTTGTAAGGAGGGGGCGGTGGTGACTCGTATTTGTATGGGGGAGGTGGGGGAGATTCATACTTGTATGGGGGAGGTGGGGGAGACTTGTAGACATAAGGGGGTGGCGGAGGAGATTTGTAAACATATGGAGGTGGTGGAGGTGATTCATACTTGTACGGTGGAGGTGGAGGTGATTCGTACTTGTACGGCGGTGGTGGTGGAGACTTGTAGACATATGGAGGTGGTGGAGGTGACTCGTACTTGTAAGGAGGGGGTGGTGGTGACTCATACTTGTAAGGAGGTGGTGGAGGTGATTCATACTTGTAAGGTGGTGGGGGTGGTGACTCGTACTTATAAGGCGTAGGCGGTGGTGGTGACTTGTAATCGTCGGCATTTATACCTGCCACCATCATGGAGAAAAGAGCCAATAGAACCCACAGATGGGGTTCCCTGTAGCTCCCCATTGAATCTAATTAAGAAAGAATCAGAGAAATCTCGACTTTAGTCTTCTATCAACCAAATTTGTTTCTGCCTTGTGTTATGGAAAATGGTTTATTCTTCCCCCATATATATACACATTTCTTGAAACCCTTTTAGAATTAGTCTCTCTGCATACGTAATTTCTTTCAAAAATAGGATTCGTATGAGCAGGTAATTTGCTTAGGTAAGGTAAGAAGCAGTCAGTTATTGAGACTTTTGATAATTGTTTAGCTGCAAATTTGTATTAATAAATATAAAAATAAATAATAGTTGGCTTAATTAATATACTTTTAGTGTATTATTTGTGAATTTTTTTTTTTTTGTTGTAATGACTGGTTCTAAGTATGACTTAGTTGTGTGATTTTGAAGTTAAAACCAACTGAAAACGATACGAAGGCATTATTAATTATCGATTAAAAAAGAATTGGTAATTAATTCACATGTTTGATTTGTCAACTCGTTTTTCACCTTAGTTTGTTATATAAAACGCAAAATTTGCAGTTTAAAATCTACCAAAGACATTGTCATAAAATCTTACTCGACATTTTTATAAAATCAACTGCCGTACAAGATCTTGATTCATCAACTTAATCGTCGTCAAAGTGCTTTCGTTCTCCATAGTCAAGAATATAATTTGAGAATGTTGGAAAATTTGATGACTTCCACTTGAGGGATCGGAGAATAAATCAACGAACCAAAACCAGAAAAAGAAGATCACCAATGAAAGCAACTAACCAAATACCAAATCAGGAATAGATTTAAAATGAACATTGATGGCTTGAACACGATATCGCTGTCTTCAAACTATATTTTTCCCCTCTCAGATTGAAATAATGCTTGTAGGGATTAATACAAATGGTTTGCAGGATTAAACAAGCCTTATAAAGAATTAACACTCAAGCATTAGGTGTAATTCTCCAAAACTTGAAGAACACTAAAGAAGAATTTGAATATGATGAAGAAAATTGTAATCTCTTGTTATATTTGGAATGATTTTTTGTTCTTGAATATGATTATGNTCTTGTTATATTTGGAATGATTTTTGTTCTTGAATATGACTGACTTTTTGTATGTTTTCAACAACACTAGTGAATAGAACGTGCGTTGCACGTTAGTTGATTATTGTCGATAAGATAGAAATGATTTTATTTTTGGAATTGATGTTGGTTGATGGTTCCCCTCACCTAATGAAGTATGAAGGAACTATTTTTTCTGAAGTATCCAACAACAATCAACTTCCCATTTGATACAACCTAACAAGCATCCAACAACAATTAATAGGCAAATAGCATTGCGCAATGAACCAAAATTTTAGTTATTTGACTGACTATAAACTTAAAATAGATTATTAGCACAGGTTCCAATATTCCAATATTGGTAGCACTGTAAAAAAAAAAATATCGTGCACGGAGACATATTC